AATGGATAAACAAAATGTGGTATAGCAACACAACGGAATATTATGCAGCAATAAAAAATAAAGTACAGCATTGTTATATGCTACAATAGGGATGTACATACCTTGAAAGCATTATGCTAAATGAAAGAAGCCAGTCACAAAAGACGTCATGTGATATTTAATTTATATGAAACATCCAGAATAGGCAAATATATACAGAGAGAAAATAGAATCATGGTTATTTGTAGGTGGTGGAGAGAAGGCAGGAAGTTGAGACAAAATGAGGAGTAACTGCTTATGGTTATGGGGAATTTTTGCAGGGCATGAAATGTTAAAAATTTTTATTACTGGTAATATATATCTCTGAATATACTAAAAACCACTGGATTTTATACTTTAAATGATAAATTGTATGGAGTATGAGTTAATCTGGTAAATGTGTTATTTTTTAAAAGATACAGGGCTGGGTATAGCTTACTCACAGAGTGGTTCCTAGCATTATGAGGCCTGGATTCCATCCCCAGAACTGCAGGGGGCAAAAAAGATAGAAGGCATATGTGTACACACACAGAAGTCGTGATGAACTATTTGCATACACCTAATAGATTAAGTAAAATAAACAAAAACAAAAACTAAGAAGCCAAATGCTAGCTAGCTCGGATGCAGAGCAACTGGAATTTTTTACATTGTTGTTGAGAATTCCGTTCTGGAAACCAGGTTGGCAGTTCTAAGTTACACAGACTGTACTATCCATCTATCCTACTCCTATATATTTACCCAAGAGAATTAAAAATCATATTTACACCAAAGCCTGCATGTGAATGGATACAAGTGCTTTATTTGTAATCATAAAATCTGGAAGCTATCTAAATTTTCTTTCATTTGGAGATGGATTAACAAACTGGTACATCCATTCAGTGGCCCACTTCTAAGCAATGGAGAGGAATGAATTAGTAATACATGGGAGATCGGAGGTCCATCTTGAATGTTTTATGCTAAATGAAAGGTGCCAGGGTCAAAGGTTAAGTACTATACTGATTCCATTTATATGGCATTTTGGAAAAGGCAAACTTATCAGGGCAGAGAGCAGATCAGTGGTTGTCAGGATTTAGAGTTGGAGGGAGTCATTGACTACTACTGGCATGAGGGAATTTGGGGAGCCTTTGAATTATTCTCTATCTGGAGTATGGTCCTTGTTTTGTGATTGTATGCATTTGTCAGAATGTCTGGAATTGTATACTTTAAAAAGATGGGTTTTACTGTGTATAATTTATTCTCCAATAAATATGACCAAACAAAAATATCTCTTGGTTGATAGCCATGCTTTATTTGGTTGCCTTGTACACCCAAACATAACTTATTAATACAAGTGTAGAGACATTGTAGACAGCTTGTGTATGGCTATTTAGAAATAGTTCTAGGATGATTTCTCCTAAGGAATTATAGATGACAGGTCGAAGAATGTAACAAAAAGTAGCTAGATTTAAAAAAGGTGGAGTTTTCCTGTGATCAAGATATGTTCTCCAAAATTAATATTATTATTACATATTGCAAACCTACACTAATAAAAAATAAAATTAATATTAAAAAAAGATCATCAGTGATTATCATAAAGCCAGTTTCTCCTAGCCTTTTGTTTATCTCAGGGTTTTTTGGGTTTGGTTTGTTTTGGTTTGATTGTATTCTGTTTTTTGTGGTACTGGGGATTGAAGCCAGTGCTTTTATACTGAGCTACATCTCCAGTTCCTTTTTTCTTTTCTTTTTTTTGGTACCAGCGATTGAATTCAGGTCCATGTGCTTGCGAGGCAGGCAATGGAACCACTGAGCTAAATTCCCAGCCCTCCTTTCTTCATTCTTTTGAGACAGTGTGTCCTTAAGTTGCTAAGTTTTCTTGGGTGGGCTCAAACTTAGGATCCTCCTGCTTCAGCCTCCCAGAGGGCTGAGATTATAGACATATACCACCATGCCCAATTCATTTTGTTTTTTAACCAACTTTAAAAATTTTTTCAGGATTAAATAATTTCACTTTAGGTAAATTATCTTTCTTTCTTTCTTTCTTTGGTACCAGGAATTGAACTTGGGACTTTGCACTTGTGAGGCAGGCAGTGGCATCACTGAGCTAAATGCCCGGCATATTTCTTTCTTATAAGTATTAAGTTGTTTTATGGTAGTGTTACTGGGTTTGGGTACTGGGGTCTCCTTCTAGAGGTGGTTTCTAGGTTCTTTCTGTCCTAAGAAAAGAATTGGTCAAGACAAGTGCAAAAGGTAAAAAGGTTTAAAGGTAGGAAAAGAAATGTTCTCTGCAGAGTGAGTTTGGGCCACGTAAAAGTAGAAAAAGAGGTCCATTCTACAACGTAAGAGGGGGCCACTGTGAAATGACACAGTAGTGCAGAGCTCATGTGGGCTTTTTGTATCTCCCACTCCTCACACTGATGTCAAGTCTAGGCCATCCTGTGGAGAACTTTTTGGAATTCTCCTGAGAAGAACTGAAGACAGCACTCCCAGGTTTCAATGAGCAGGGACTGGGAACTATTCTGAATGTATCTTGGGGCTCTGTAATTAACAGGTCACACCCACTTCCCCAGCCAGTTTGCCACACCCTAATCTCCTGCCTGAACAGAATTGTTTTATATGCTTTTGGTCTTTATATTTTAGTTCTTTTAAACATCTTTTTTTCTTTTTGGCAGTTTGGATAAAGACTTTTCTTCAATTTATTTTATTTTATTCTTTTTAAACCTTTAAACCTTGAACCTTTTATTTCATTTTTAGGTCAAATAGATGCAGAAATGACTTTTAGTTGAACAGTTCATTAGTTAAATATCTGGCAAATTGGTTTTGGGTGACCTGACTAGTCTGCCAACCTTGTAGAATTTCTCAAGGGTTTACAGGATATAAATCTTTATATATAGTTTTGTGTCTTTCTTTAATGCATTGACTGTATTGCTAATGAGGACATAAGAGTCCTTTATGGTGGTCAGTGTATCACATATGTGGAGTCTTTCCAGCCAGATGATCCCAATGGCCTTCAAATCTCACTGATAAGCAGAGAATTAGTCAGCAAGGTGCTACTGTTTAGGTGCTGGCTGTTTTCAGAGTTTTTATTCTTTCCTTGCTCAGAAGACCATGTTTGCTGAGGACAAACAGATGTTTTTACTGGGTAGGAGGAAGCTGTTGTGTGTTTTATTCACTAATCATGTGAGCCCTTTGACTTTGTGACACATGTCAGCAATGTTGAGTACACACTTTCATGGACACCAGCTTACCAGCAACACTATCATGCAGCCATTTGATTTCTTCACTAGATTTAGTAATGGTCCATGTATTGACCATGATGTTACTATCAGAGCAAAAGTATTACTGCAGCAGATGGTCCATATAAGTGCAGACACTTACCTCACTGAGATATGTAATTTATTTATTGTTTTACCTATTAGTAACATTTGTTTAGGTACTGACATTCCAGCCAGTGTGTCCATCAACAGATAAACAGAAAAAGAAAGTGTGCTATTTATACACAGTGAAGTTCTACTTTGCTGTAAAGAAAGATAAACTTGAGTCATTTGTAGGAAAATGGAAGCAGCTTAAGTGAAACAAATCAGACACACAAGCTTAAATATCTCTTGGATTCTTATATGCAAAACCCAAAGAACAAATAAAAGATAATGAAAAAAAAAAGATGGGCCAGGGATTTAGCTCAGTGGTTCCGGCGCCTGCTTCACAAGCGCAAGGACCCAAGTTCGATCCCTGGTACCAAAAAAAAGAAAAGAAAAGAAAAAAAGAAAAAAAAAGATAATGGGAAGTAGGGAGATCGATCTTTCTCAGATGGGAAGGGGATCACGAGATGAGTGGAGAGGGAGGAGAGGGAAGGAGATGAAAAAGAGAGTTAGGATGTGTTACGCACATGTACCGACTCCCCACAAGGAATGTAAATATGTACTGCAAACGTACTAAAAACAAGAAATCTGGAAAAAGTGGATATAAGAATCAATAGTGAGTAAATATTTTAGGATGAGTAGCAACTTTATAATTCCTCAATAACTTTATACTAATCTAAGCTCCTTAATTTTTTTTTTTTTTTTGTATACCAGGGATCCAACTCGGGTCCTTGCACTTTCAAGGCAGGCAGTGGAACCACTGAGCTAAATACCCGGCCCTCCTTAATGTTATTTGAGATTGATCACAGTCACAGGTTTCTTCCCTCCATCCCTCAGATGGCATCCTGTGATCTAATACTGTTATACCCGTTTGTTTCCTCTTTTGTTCCCTTCCTCAGCCTAGCTAGACATGTTTCAGGTGAGAGAGTGCAGGAACGTTCTGTGGGAACCTCTCCTGGTGGGGGATGCCTATGTGGGCTCCCAGAGGAGCCTACATTGTGGCACCTTCGCTCTACTACATGTTAACTTTCATGTTTCCAGGAGAGTGTCTGGAGATGTTAAACATTTAACCAAAAATTTAAAACTGGGAGAACAAGTGTCCTTAGTGGCCTAAATTTGCATGGTGATTCTTCCTCTATAATTATTTTTTTCCCCTCTTAAAATTTTTTTTTGACTTTTATTAGTACATGTTTGCAGTACATAGTGATACCATTACTGTAAGGAATTGGTACATGTACATAACATTTAAATTCCTTTTTTCCCCTTCCTTCACTCCCCTTTTATTTTTCCAGCGTCCCTTGGTAATTATTTTTAGTCTGTTTTATGTCAGTAAAAATACTAATACTGACTAGCTATTGTTTCATTCTTCTTTCAATTAATTAACTTTCCTGAATTCAAGTTATTAATCAGTAAAATGGAGATAATAATTGACACAGGGTTGTAGAGAGAATTTAAGGGGTATCAGAGACAAAAAGTGATTTCGCATTTATGACTCGGGGTTATTTCTCTTTCTCATGCAAATAGAATGTAGGGACACAGTTCTTAGTGACAGGCAGAGATCATTATTACTCTCATGATGAGGTCTCAATTATCCTAAAATGTGTTTTTCTTTAGCATTCTTTTTCTTTTTTCACTTCCTCCTAATAGTGTCTTAATCGGGAACAAGGTATTAAATGGATCAAAAAAGAAAGACTTCCAGCATTTCTGGAGAGTGATTGCTACTTTGAATACAGGTATTGGTGTTCATCAATATACGTATTTTAAATGCCTGTTTTTTCACCTAACATCATTCTTCTGTGATTTCTTAGTAAAATGGTATACCTTGCAGCCCACTAGAGTTTGGGTCCGACTTGGTATAGAATAAAGAGTGATAGGGCATTGTCCAAAAAAAAAATCACTTAACTTTTCCAAAAAGATTTCACAGAAATAGTACCTAATAAATGTATTTCAGTCATACCTCTTTGGTTGTTATACTTTTTTTTTTGTATCGGGGATCAAACTCAGGACCTTGCATTTGCCAGGCAGGCGCTGTGCCACTGAGCTAAATCCGCAGCCTTGTTATACTTTTTAAACTGTCTACTGGGGATAATGGTATTTGTGTACAGGAGTTCATAGATGAATGTTAATCCAACATTAAGAATGCCAATACAAAGCCAGTTTTTTCCTTAATGCCCCCTTATAAAGTGTCAAGTACCCAAACATTCTGAAATTATATTAAAATTTGACCTTTGCTTATAACAGCCATTTAAAAATAAAAATAGATTAAAATAAAAATTATTAATTAAGGAATTGTTGTATGAGTGAACAATTCTAATGAATAACTCATTAATTTCAGCAGAGCCTAAGAGAGTTATCCTGCAGAGTTAGGAGGAGAGATTGCCTGATAAATACTCAATATTTTAGGCTTTTTTCTGAATTCTATGATATTTGAAACTTAGTCAAATTTTGTGATTTCTACACTTCAGGTTAGCCAAATTGGTCTCACAAGTAAGATGGAGCAAGTCAGGTGTGAGTTTCACAATCGGTACACATTTTTCTCCATGGGTCCTGAGGAAACCACGCAGTCCACCACCTCCCGCTGTTGAAGAAGACAATCTTATAATTATGAAAAAGTTCTACATTTCTCTTGGCGAGGTAAAAGTATGAGTATTGTTTTGTGAAACTTTTTATTTCAGAGGCATGCATTTCATTTGTAACACTTGGACAGGGAAAATGACTTAAAATACTTCTAAAGCATGTTCAGCAATAACTCTTTTGGATTTATGCTGAGTCATTTACTCTGCACTCTAACTTTACATCCAATTAGAAATATTATGTCATGTGTCCCAAGTAACAAAAGCAAGATTGAAGAACAAGCTCAATGTCATCTAGGAAGCAAATTTGCTTATTCACTTCAAAATTGTTATTATTTGGATTCAATTACCTTTGTACAAAAGATGATAAATTGTGCCTTCTCCTCCCTACTATCTAGACAATTCCTTAGTAGCATTACTATTTAACTGCTGTCAGAGAAATTTCTCCTCCATGACTGTGCAAATGTGGTATTACATGAGTACATTCGAAGGGATAAAGCCTAGAATCAAATGTGCTTTAGAATCATCAAGGCTTGGTGAAAAGTATTTGTTTTTTTGGCCTCTATCAGATCTTATCTCTGGCAACACACTTCTGATACACAATTCTATCTGTCACACAAAATCAGGGATGGTAAATATGTGACCCTGGTTGCTGCTACTCTCTTAGTCTCCAGCCATGACGACCTTGCCAATCAGTTGTGTCAAGTTTTCTCTTGAGCTAGGACTTGGCTTCAAATTCTTTTTTTATTCTGGATAGGCATTGCCAGCTGAGCTGAGATGTCATACACGAGGAAACCTTTTGATCTGTGTTGGACTGGGAGACTTAACGCTACTTGAACTTTTCTTCATGTGTATTCCTAGTTAATCTTGTAGTTTGGTATTTCTGTCAGTAATATTTGCCAAAATTTTAAAGCTACATGTTTCATTAGTTTTGCTGAAAAATGATTAATGATACACTAAAGACATTTTCCTTCTCTCTTATACTTTTTAAGTGTTTATTTTTTTCTTTTTAAATATTTTAGAAGTGTCAGAAATGTCATAAAATATGTACTGATAGTTGAGGCCAATAAACATGTGAAGTGAAGAGCTATCCAGGAGAATAAGCTCTGACTCCTTATATGTGAATTTAAACAAATATAGGGAATGAAAATCCAAGCTAGTTTACTTTAGCTGTTTTTTGAGATGAAAAAAATAATTTCTGTTCACTTGATTAATACTTTATATATTATAATTTTTCATAATTTTTGTACTTCCTTTGGGTCCTTATATTATTTCAACTACAACTGTACATAGAAATTAATCTTTATTATAATTAGTAATCTTCTTTGAGTCTTCAGTTGTACCATCTAAATTGGCCCATTTCTTAAAATCATAGACTGGTGAATGACTGATGACTTTGTTCTCCCCTGTTCTCTACTCCATCACTCTTTTTGATCAATTGACACTTGTATTTTTGTCTAACTCAATTCCTTGAGCATTCCTTAATTATTTTGACCTCCTCTCAGTGCTTAGGATATGGCTTGGAATAGAGCAGAGTTTCAATAGGTAAAGAAAAATTGGAACCGAAGAGCCTCCCAAAGCTTCTGTGCACGAGGGAGCCTTACCCAGAAGAGGGTCAGTGGCTACACAGAAGGCATCTCCATTTCTCTCTTTTCCTTTGGGCTTATTGTGTGGCCTGACATCCCTGCTAATTCTCTGTAATAGCCAGGGGATGATATCTTTCATTTGAGCCTTGCCTCTTCTTCAAGTGTTAAGCTAAGTGTCAGTCAACTGACAGGTGGAGAAAGGAGAAATGAGAATGCTGGACACTCCCTTCTCTGTTCCTGTGGAACAACTTGGATTCCCTGGGAAAAATGGAGGGCATTACTGAGAGAGGCAGCCAGAGTAATTTCCCCAGGATAGGTGAGTTAGGAGCTTCTTAGGGGTGGAGTTTCAGAAGCTAAGGATCAGGTTGGGAATTGGGTCAGCTGGCTCAGCGGTACACAAAGCAAAGGAAAAATTGAAGGCTGCATCTGTGACCAGGTGGAGTTGGGAATTAGTTTGTAGGAAGTGTCCAACGCAAGCAAAGTTGTGAAAGCTGAGTCTAAGGCAAAGAGGCAGCTGAGCTTGGAGAGGTTTACAGAAGCTGAGAGTAGAGTCTGTCACGCTGGGGTAGGAGATGAAAACAAACAAAAAACACTGACTCAGGTCAGTCAGAATTGAGGTCATAGAACAATTAGAAAATTTATAAATAGGAGCAGGTACCAAAAGATGTGTCAAAGGAATATGAATCTGTCATGAATCCAGGAATGGGGTTTCATGCTCTGCTTGTTCAGCAATATCCTGAGAATAAGAGTGGAAAAGAATTTGGGCTCATTTTTTTCCTTTGGTTATCTAATATGAAAAATCTGGATTAAAATGTCCTTCCCATTATTTTCTTAGCTAATGAATTTTAGTGTGATTTTCTTTTTCCATACAATAATTTTTTCCTTTACATATTACACTGTACAAATTAAATATTATAATGATTTGTTCAGGTTTATGATTGGAGGAACTCTGTTAATCTAATGTTAAACTAATATGTCCCTTTCTTCCTAGGCCTCCTATACTCAAACAAAAGATTGGTTTTCACTAGCAAAACAAAGTCAGCAAATGACATCCACTTTTTCATTACCCTGTTGTGTACCCCACAGTAAAATTGAATCACCAGTTATTTCATCTGTTTCTGGTAAGCAGAAAAGGATAAGAGTGATGTCAGGATTCTTCTTTAAATCTTCTGTGTTTGCGCTAATCTTGTAAGAGAGCATTTAGTGATTGGGGAGGAAAAAATATGTACACAGCTCCTCCCTTTGCTTCCTTTTTTTTTTTTTTGAGAAGCAGCTTGGTTTTGTTAAAGGAGAATGAGTTTAGAACCCCGCTCTGATACCTAGTAGTACTGGGGATTGAACCCAGGGCCTTCTCATTGAATTTTATCCCCAGCTTTTTAATTTTTTTTTTTTTTGAGACAGGGTCTCACTAAATTACCCAGGCTGGGCTCACACCTGTGATTCTCCTGCCTCTGCTGGGATTGCAGGTGGTGCTGGGATCGCCACATCCAGCTAGTGTGATTTTGCTGAGTTATTCTACTCCTGGGCATCTTGATTTTCTCATCTATATGATTAAACTGATGATACACCCTAATGTCTAAAAAATAGTTGGCTTCATGGTTGGTTTAATGTGCAGTCAATACATGTTTGCCTTATCTATTTCCTACTTTACAAATTCTTACTATTAAGCCTGTTTATTAAGCAATAAAGTGGGTGCAGTGTTTGTTCTTAAAAGTAAATAGTCATTAGAGTTGGGGATGTAGTTCAGTGGCATCCCACCTGCCTGGCAAGCACATGGTCCTGAGTTCGATCCCTGGTACCAAAAAAAAGTCACTGATGAAAACTGAGTTTCTCTTCTGCTTTGAAGTTAAGATTATTTTTCAGGTGGAAAAGCAGATATATTACTACTGTGTGGAGCTTTTGTGGGTGATACTAACTTCTCACCAAAAATAGAAGGAACCTTCCAGAAATAAGAGTCATCATGATATTGTGAGAGAAAAAAATCTAAATGTGGGCCAGGGATTTAGCTCAGTGGTTTTGCTGCCTGCTGCCTGCTGCGCAAGCGCAAGGACCTGAGTTCAATCCCTGGTACCAAAAAAAAAAAAAAGTCTAAATGTGATTCAGGAGAATTTCAGAATTTACTAAGAATTCTTAACTTTAATCCCTCTGAAAAGTATATTCAACCAGTGGGGAAGATAAATCTAGATTCTCTAGAATTGAACCTAAGTCTACGTAAAGAGGTGCACAATCTCCCTAACTGAAGATAGCTATATTTATAGATTTCCTGCTGCCTCCTCAAAAATATTAAAGTAGAAAGTTGAAGAGTAAAAACAGAAAGAGAAAGAATAGTAGAGAATAATGAGCAGGAATGCCTGTGTTGATCTCTACCATACCTTCCCTTCAATTCTGTAGGACTTAGAATATGCTCAGTATTCCTTCACAGATTTATAAAGTCTAATATCACTCAGTATTGGGGAACTGGCATATATATTTTCCATAAGTTTATAACAAAATCTTTCCAGTGCATTGAGTTCGAAATTGGGTAAGAAAATGGTCACTGGGAATTGGGTGCAGACAAGATACTTGATCCATGGCATTTCCTGAGGTAAACTTACCATGTGAAATATAGTGCTGACATCTGATATTTCACCAGTTTCTAAAAGACAGAAAATAGGAGTGAAATACTCTATCCTTGGAAAAGGTGAAAATAATACACCAATAACCTTCACAAGTACTTTATGCTTATTTGTAACTTTAATCATAGACTGTATGACAGTATTTGAATCTTTCTTATAAAATAGCCAATTTTAAAAAAGTGTTGATATTTAAAAAAAGTGTTGATATTGACTGTAGTTCCAGCCTGTTTGTCTATGGTCTCATCAAGCTAATTTTCTTTTATCATACAATGTGAAATATTAAAGTACATATAATTGTTTAATATACATATTTTTGATTAATAGATTTGGCCCTTGTATTTTGTTGTTCTATATCAGTGTAAAATATTTTAAAAGCATATGATGTCTTTTTTTAACATCCTCTGTGTTGGAGCTGTCAAATATTTAGTCCTTCTGCCACATCCAGGAAAGATATGATTATCCCTATTGGCAGGTTTTTCCTTACTGGTTCCAAATGTGGCTTCAGAATCCTACTGAAGATACTGGTCCTCTTAAGTCACTCCTTGTGATAAACCAGTTTGTCATGCCAGCTCTATAGCATCTGTTAATAATAGAAATCTTTGTACTCATATCTAACCTAATAGCCTTTTATAATTTAACACAGAGAGTTCTATCTTTGATGATGGAGTTCACCCCAGGACAAAAAAGGGCTCATCTACAACCACTAAATTAATTTCTGAATTGGAAGAAGGCTCTGTATCTCTAAAAGACACTCCTTCACGAGCTCTTCTGAGAATATACCTTGAAAAGCAATATGATGTGTTTGACAGAAGCCTGACATTGCATTTTTCAACATGTGAAGAATTTTTAAATTCCTATATATTCTTTATTTTGAGAGAAGCCGTTCAGAAAATTACTGGAGAGCCACTTAAAGAAAGCCCGAACTACATAAACTTCAGCAATGTAGGACAAGTGGTGGTTAATGATACTTTTGAATCTCTCCTTGAACCAGTTCATACCATAATGGCAAAGTCAGAAGATGCATTAGAAAAAAACAATTTAAGTTCAAAGAGGGACAGCTTCGGACCTGAGAGCAGGACCGATTGGAATATTTCTCACAGAACTTACAACATTAGCAATAGGAAGGAGTTTGAAAATTTTAAGAAATTTATGAAGGGCACCTTAGGAGAGAGATATTGGTATCTGTGGATGGATATTGAGAGATTAAAAGTTCTGAAGGACCCTGGAAGACATCAAAGGTATTTCTACTTTTTATTTTTAATAGTTTTAAAATAAATTATAGAAAATTGTTTGGTTTTTTAATCACAAGCAGAAAGTTTGCAATAAATATAAAAACGTAATTTATACCTTTGGAGGTATGATTACATTTAGCCGGACGTGGTGGCACATGGCTGTAATCCCAGCACTTGGGGAGGATCCCCTAGAGTTCAAGGCCAGCCTGAACTACATAGTGAGACCCTGCCTCAAAAAGTCAAAAAAAAAAAAAACACCTAATAATAATAACATTTATCTTGTTATAATAATAAACTTTGTTTTTTATTTTTTTCTTTTTCATTTGGTACTGGGGATCAAATTCAGGACCTTGTGCTTGTCAGGCAGGTGAGGTGCCACTGAGCTACATCCGTGGCCCCATAATAATAAATTTTGACCTCACATGTTTTCTGATTTCATAGTTTTCAGGCACTAATAATAGCAATTATTTGGGTTTATATAATATTTCTTCCCATAAGTTCTGGAACTGCTCTAAAGTTACTTAAGTTTTTATAATATCCCAATGATAGAGAATTTTTATCAAAAAATTTATCATCTATATGACCACACTCATATAAGATAGGAGCTGTTTCTTAACAGCCTGATTCATTAACAAATTCCATCTTTGGTAGGATTCCACATAGCTGGATGTCTGAATGAGTCTCTCTGATAAAGAGCCTCCCGAAGGCCTGATAGGACTCAGGTTTTCATCTGGCCAGCTCCATATGTTTAAGGTTACTGTAAGTCTAGGATTCTCAAGAGGAAACTAGGTTAGGAAAGTCCTGATTTCATCTGTACTCGTAATACAGTATAGTAGATTGCAATTCTTATTAAGAGTTTGAGGGAGTATATACTAGTGATTGAGTTATTCCAGTTATTTTATGGCATCCAAATCACAGAGCTCATCAAGTATATACTAGCAACTGGAATATTTGTTATTTTAATGACATTCAGCCCACAGAGCTTATAGTTATAAGAGCAGGTTACCAAATGCTTTGTTATGAAGTATGACCTGATTGATCATGGATAAAAGGTCACTACCACTTTTAAAGACATATCAAGAAAGTTGTATGCCAGTAACCTACATAGGCTTTTCAGGATCTAACCCTATAGATAATATTGTAGGAAATATTAAAAGGGGCTGGTCAGGCGTGGTGGCACACACCTGTAATTCCAGCACTTAGGAGGCTGAGGCAGGCAGATTGCCTTGAGTTTGAGGCCAGCCTCAGCTACATAGTGAGCTCAAGGCCAGCCTGAATTACATAGCAGGATCTTGTCTCAAAAAACAAAAACAAACAACAAACAAATACACAAACACACACACACACAGAGTTCACCAAAAAAATGTATACATGCTTTAGCAGTTCACCATACTAATAAATATCTGGAAGCTAATGGCCACTGCTTTAAGCATCTCTTGTAATGGTAGAGGCCAAAGGTAACTTGTATGAATCTCATGATGTTGCAATAAATTTAGTATTGAAATACTTATAAAAGTTTTTCTTTTCCTGATGTATACATTTTGGTTGACTCTGTATACATACATATATATATATATATATGGGGCTGAGGGCATCAGAAAATGCTATAATGAATTGCCACATACTTAATGGCCTAAATCAACCAAGTTTATTTTCTTACATTTCTGGGAGTCAGAAGGCTCTGGGAGGAAATTTTTTTTCTTTTCTAATCTATGAAGGGCACCTATGTTCCTTGGCTTGTGGCCCTTTCCTCCATCTTTAAAACCAGCAGCATAACATCCTGTCTTCTCTCTGACATTCACATCTTTATGACCGTGGCCCTCCTGCCTCCCTCTTGAAGGAGTCTTGTGATTATATTGAGACCACTCAGGTAACTCAGGATAATCTCCTTAAAGTCTTAATCCCGTCTATAGGATCTCTATGATTTTGTAAGGTAATAAATTTATAAAGTCCAGAGATTAGGATGTAGAGAACTTTGCAAGGCCATTCGGCTTATTATAAACACCTCTTCCCTTTCCATAACTATGGAAATATTTTCATCTCCATAGAAATGTTTAATACTTCTGTAAATCAGTGTTGGTTTTGAGGTAGTTTATTGCCTGTCTGAAACATTTGCATTTGAGTAGTAAAATAAGGATATGTTTTATTTCAGACATCTTGAGAAGATGAAAAAATGCTACCTAGTGAGCAGTGGAGAGTGCTACCTTTCTGCAGAAATCTTATCAAAACTTGATTTGTTAGATGGATCTCAGTGGACTGAAGAACATTTAAAAAATATTCAGTCTGAGGTCATAAAACCTTTACTTCTATACTGGTAAGAACAACAATATGAATCAAAGTTATTTCACTTTTCTTAGACTAGTTATGTGTAATATCTTTTGTTGTATGGGTATATAATTTGTTGAGATTTAAACAACAAGATTATTATATCTTTCACCTTGCTTAAAGTGCTTATTTTACAGATAATTAGGGTTTTGGCATGACTTTAAATCTATAAGTTGGACAGTACTTAAGTTCCCTTTTAACTTGTGAGCACATCCTTCCACCTTTTTATGGTCATATCCCATAAAACTGGCGCACATGTCCATGTATCTGTGTGTGTTTGTGTGTAGCTAGAGGTACAGATTTATCATCACAAAGGACTTTTTTTTTTGGTACCGGGGATCGAACTTGGGACCTTGCACTTGTGAGGCAGGCAGTGGAACCACTGAGCTAAATCCCCGGCTCAAAGAATATTTTTTGAGCACTTACATTAGGCCAAATGCTGTGCTAAGGATAAAAGGTAAAACCTGCTCAAGTCTACAGATCAAAGTCCAGAGAGAGAAACACTCAGGTGAAAATAGGATAATAAAGCGTGAATGTACAGGGGCAGAGAAGAGATCATATTTCACCAGAGACTTGAGTAATTCAAAAGAAAAGAGGATGGAGGACACAGTGGAGAAGATATGTGCAGTTTGAGGATCACTGAGTGTCCGTAATGACTGTTTTGGATCTCATTGCATCATTTCTCTGCTTTAAATTTCACAGGTTGCCCCAAAGCTTTCAGTTTAAAGTTAGGATCATTTAAATTAGCAAATAAAAGCATCATGATTTGCTCCTTGCCCACTTCTCTGGCATCATCTCCCATCTAGGTATTCCAGATTACTTGTACACATTGTACTTTTCTATATATAGTGTGCTGCTGTAATCTTTCTTTAAAAACTCTATTGTTAGATATGTAAGACATACAGAGAAGTAGAAATTATAGTATAGTGGGTACCTGTGTACACACCACTCAACTTAATAAAACATTACCAAGACAGAAGTATCTTTTTTTTTCCATTAAGTTTATTCGTACATTTTTGGTATACAATACAATTACATTCATCATTGGGATCTTGGACCTTTACATGATGTATCTTGGTTCTTATTTTTTCCTCATTCCCCTGCCCTCCCTTCACCCCCTCCACCCTTCCCTATTTACAAAGACTTTGTTTCCAATTTTTTCCTTTTCTCATGTTTGTTCTTTTCCCTTCTATTCTCCCCCCCCC